CATCAAATCCCTGCACTGAATCCGGTACCCCTTGAAGTTGTAAATGCATTCCATTCACACACACACATTACAGGTGGGACCTTCAATATTATTGATTGAGTGCAGCACAACATTGAGACAAGTTAGCAAAGGTTCCTGCACTCCAGTTTCACGCAATGAACCATGCACATTCGGTTCAGTGATTCAGCGCACTTCCACGGTGTTGTTTTGCCCTTAGTATCCACTGCTCTCATCACACTACCTACCATGTCTCTACCTGCTGAGTTGCTGGCTGTTGCTGCTTTGAAGACATGCATGCACTGTACACAGCAGCGACAGTAGCTCTCTCTGGTAAGGCCGCACGAATGTTGCATGGCCTTCGTTCGACATTTGAATTCAACACAAGGTGTCCCAATTGAAAATGTAATTGTTGTGTTCTTTTGAACAGTTGAACATTGAACCTCAGGCACATGGTTTACAGTTTACACTGGTTGAAGGTCCGCATTGCCGCATTGCAACAAACGCTTGAAGCAAACAAACAATACCATACCACATGATCACTTGATCCATACTGTAATACTATTTGCCTGACCTGAAATTCAAAGCTATATAGGTGTGGCTCGACCTAGCCACACTTGTACACGCTCACCGCTCACCACTCACTGCCTCCTTGGAAGGACCATTCCCAAACAGTCCACCCCCTGCACCCCGTTGCGCCCCAGAAGGCACCACAAGAGGTCAAAGATCACAGGAAGTGTTGTGCGCAAGCCTGGCCGGAGGGGTTGGTTGCTCAATTGACTTCATGTCAATGATTACCCGTGTGTGTTGTTTTCTTGTGTGCCTCTTAAAGTTCACAGTTGAGTGCTGCAATTCCATCTGACCTACAGATCCACAAGGGTCACCCTGGAACATTGATAGTGAAAGAAACAATTTGGTATTAAATCAGTACGTCCTGGGAATTATGGCATGGTGAAAGTCACACCCCAGTGAATCCAATTCCCGCGTCTAGAAATTAGCAGCGTGATGTAGTGGACCTCAACTGGCCTTTGCCACCTTAACAAACTTTCACAAATTGCTAGGACCATCACCACTGTGACCACCATGATCTCAGTTGCTTTTTTCTGTTCTGTCTCTCAGCCTGTGCCTCTATGTCTGAGTCGTCTTCCAGTTTCCAGATTCGAGCAATCTCCATGTCCATCTCACTCAACAAGAAAATGCTCAACTAACCTCTGGCTTAGGAACCCTGAAACAAAACACACACAGACTTGTGAAAATCCAAACAACTCGTCTGGAACGAATTGAGCTCATGGTGTTAGTACCCTTAGCAGCAAGCATGTGCCAAGGGACTGCTCAGTGACCCATTCCAGCATCAGCTCTGCTTGCGTCCCAATTCCTGATCCTGTTGGATCATGGTCGAATCACAGTATTTTCTAACCTTGGGTAACCCTGTCTAGTGTGTACACACATGTGACCCAGATGACCGACGATTGATGATTACGATCAACCAGCAGCCAACAATATTCAGCCCGGGGGGACACCGCAGAGCAATATGCTAACATTTGAAAATTGAACAGTGATCAGCTACCAAACAATGTGAACATCTGCCACAAACACATTGAGAGCTTTCAGCTCAGCCGATCAAGTTCCTCCGTCCGTCCAACATTCCATCAACCTGGGCATAACAGCACTATGCAACCACTGCAGTTGTTGCACTAGAACGAAACGCTTGATTTACTGTACTCTATTATACTTGGCCAGCTAGCAAGTTTATTTGAGGAGAAGACAATTTTGCTTTCCAAACTACAAGTAGGGCCGTAGGGGGCAAATGTGTCAGACTCTGGCTCTAAGGATTGTTTCCGATTCCACTGTTTGCGAAATCAATAATATGCATTTGGTAGAGCCAGTCTGTCCACCCTGGGGCCGCTCGTACTAGACGAACTTGAGGGATGAAAAAGAAGGCTGGGGCAGGAAGTGGCTCCTGCTCAGATTGCTCTGGCTCAGAATCACCTGTAGGGTGAGGTGTGCGACCTCCGTCATCCCGCTCACGGTCACCACCGCCTTCAGCGCTCGCAATTTCTTGCCCGGGCCCGTGTTCGTTCCCGTAACTAGGTCCATGTCCATCAACGTCAACGTCTGCTCCATGAGGTGGAACAGAACTTGGTTCATCACACTCCTCATCATCCCCTGCAAGAGGACGTGACGAACCATTGCCGTTGGGTGTACCTGAAGGCAACAACAAATTAGGTTGAGAGCACTCCCAGGAGGCGGAGGAGTCAGAATCCGATTCACGTGGACCATGTCCCACATCAATTTGAGATGGATTGGGATTGGGCACAGGCGGCACAGGATCACATCCAACCCCTGCAAAGGTGGAGGATGCTCCAGGGTGGCAGTGACTATTCACTACGCCCCCTTTTCCAGCAGCCACAGTGACCTCTGAGGCACGGCGAGGCCCCAATTCTGCTAGGTCAGGAAACAGCGGCTGACCCACCGGTGGCAACCCACCCATTCTGATTCTGATGCTGGTGTTTGGGATTGTGGTCAGGCTTGCATGTGAAGCTGATCTCTTCAAGCCCTTGCCCTTGCCACCATCGCAATCATTCTTTGCCATGAGTGAGACGCTGGATGGATGGGGCTCACAATCCCTGAATCTAGTATCTAGCGGCGTGTCTGAGCTTGAGCCTTGCAGTGACAGCCTGTCTTCACCATCTCGAAGTCTAAAAGCAAACTCCAACCAACATGGTGAGGAAAACAAACAGACAAAAGAAAATAAACAATAGAGAGGAACAGTCGAGAAAAGGAAGCATTAGGACTTGAGGGCAGGTTCCAGTCTTCAAAAAAAGCAGAGCTCAGAGCTCCAGCATTCTAAGACCTAGATATCGTCCGATGCCATTCTTTTCTTCAACAATATGTGGCTGACAGTCAGCCTTCCGTTATACCCCAGCCTGGAGCACCTCGCCCCTGGTCCTTCAAACCAACAATCACCATCTGACCATCTGACACTTAACCGACATCACCCAGCTGAGCGAGCCTTGTGGTGGTTATTTCAGACCATCAAGTAGTAGGCTCTCCACACCAATGCAAGCACACTGGGCACGAGAGCCTCAATTGAGTAGGGTGGTGCTAGTGCTGGGGTTGCGAACATACTTAGAAGGTTTCTAAGTGTCCAAGGGAAGGGACCCACAACATGCACAGAGGCCGTACATATGCTGCATGTTCGTCAATGTCACAACTATTCCTTACGATATGGTGAGGGTTGGATGTCTTGACATCGGTCCAGGTTACTGGCAACGGGCTACAGTCTGTTCAATGTTTATTACGCACGTGTGTTCACAAATGACCATAGCAGCCATAACAAATTGGCACATTGAGTCTGCGTCTGCGGCATTGGGAAACAACAATCGCTGTGTTGAACGGGTACAAGAAATATCGAGCCCAAACAATGTGGCACACTACTGACACTACAATATGTAATTACACAGACATAGAAGGCTGAGAGGTCTGAGACAAAGGAACAAATATGCCCTTTGATGCTGAGGTCATAGCGATTGAGCCGATAGAAGCACCTACTAAGCCTAAGCCTAAGCGCCAAGTAAGAAACAAGGCACCTTCGAAGCTCCTCTGGTAGATTCAGGCTGTTTGCTGAGACAGGCAGATTCCTAGTCCCAGTGCTCAAAAGTCCAGCGCCCGCAGATGAAGATGAGGACGATGACCTGAAGGCAGGTTCCGCCTGATCACCTCCTTGCTGCCACAGCAAATGACGTAGAATCTCCTGTCCACATTCTTTGTGAGCAGGAAGTAGACAAAGCGGGCAAGTTACGCAAGGGTCACTGCCATCACGCTCACCGGACTCCAGCACTGTTTTCTTGCACAAAGCGCATTCTGGGCGAGATTCAGGAGACATATTGTTCAGCTCCAGCTCGACATCTCTGGTTAAAGCTGTCTTCCACACCTTCATCAACCACTGCCACTTCTGCGGCAACTCATTGTGCTCTGCCAAGTAGCCCACCCGTCTAGCACGGGTCCATGTAACTCCTGTTTGAGTTACCAAGACTCGGGAATCTGAATAGTCTTTTGGATATCGCTTGTCACCCACGTGAACCACTGCCACAAGCAATCCTTTCTTGTCAACATCAACGATGTACCCAGTTCTTGCTTCGACGTCCTTCCACTGCACCACAACCACTCGAGAGGCAGCTGAGACTGTAGGGGCAGGAAAGGCAGAGGATTGAGGTAATTCAGGCAGAATAATGATCGAAGTGCCGCCTTGCTGTCTGGTAGCTAGCGGAAGGTCAGCTATTCGTGACTGGGCCATAATGGAATCAATCGACTTGTTCAAGTTATTCACCCACTCTTGGTAGACATCCCTGAGGGAACTTGAGCCTCAGAGACCGGGCCCACCAAGGCGCAAGTAGAATTGTAGAGTGGAGGCTAAGATCAGTTTACTTGTTCCACATTTCCAAAATACTAAGGCATTCAAAATTCTAAATCCTATACAATCTGTCATGACATTTCGCTACGGGGGGCCTACTGCAGCACGAGACTTGAGGCTGTGAGTGGGAAACAGCAAAGTCCAAGATACACTTGAGTTATTAATTCCGCCAAAGGGCCTGTGAGACCACACTCATGTGTGTCCTTCTCGTTGCTGTACTCGGTGTTTCCCGCGACGTTGACATCATTCATAGCTGCCTCAATCACCGCCTCTTCGAGTAATATTTGCTGCTCGTCTTGAATCTGGGATGCTGCCTGTTTAACTTCTTCTGTCACAGTGTGCTTTTTGGAATCCAGGGCTTCTTTCAACTTCGCACTCTCTATCTGGCTCCGGTTCTGCTCAACCTGCAAAGCATCTGAACCAACCACATTGAGACCATCCTCATCGATATGTTCAAGGTTCTCTTGTAGCA